GCCATCTCCAAGAGCATGTGGCTTCCCCAGGTAAGCAGGGTGTGGGGCGAACAGCGACTCAAAAACATGTCAGGGGTGCCGACGGCCCAAAGCATGGATCTGGCCAGGAACGGGAAGTCCGTCAAGAGGAACTCCAACTGCGCCGCCATGGTAATGGTAATGGCAAGGGGCATTGGTTTGTCCTGCAGGTCGTCCTTGTGTTCCTGGATCCAGGTCTGGAGGCGCTTCAGGTACTTGGTCGGAAGTTTGGTAATCTTCCGTGGTGCCGGTGTGGGCGTGAGGGGGGGGGTCGCTGTGGTGGAGCGATGTCGGGGCGACAAACAACTTGAATAGAAATACGGTCCATCCTCGTTGAGGGTAATTTTATTGTCAATACAAATGTCAAGATATTTGTCCAGTACCACTGGGGAACACTTTTCTGTCGCTCACTGTAGTTAGTACGTCTATAGGCGAGGCCTCGCAACACGCGCTTCTCATGTATTGAAGCAATTTCATGACACAGAGCCTGGATCACGTCATGATGCGTATCTCATGGTATGGTGCGGAGTGGAGTGGTTGAGAAACTACAGAAAAACCTGCTTGTGAAATGTGCTCAATTGCATGGTCACTCGTATTTGACATGCATATATTTACTCATCGATTGAGCATTATCCAGTGTTCCTTTCATGACTTCCAACCTCCCTTGGCGTCCCTGCTGCTCAAGATCGAAACATACTTCGCGCTCTGCCTTATCAAGACGGTAAAGCGAGTTCAAACGCGTACATCGGACCGTGATTTCGAAGACACCTGTCTGGCGAATCATTCAGAGCTTTGGATTGACGTGGAAGGTGCTCGAGCGCCGAGCTATGCACATAAAGGAGGCTGACATATTCCGCTTTACTGAAGAAATGAGTCACATTGACTGGAACCATCTGAATTTGGTGTTTCTCGACGAGGTCTCGTTCGACAACCGAGGCATGATTCGCAAACGGGGATATTCGATCCGAGGGAGGTCCGTTGCCATCCGAGGTGACTTTGTTCGGAAGCCCAGAGTGTCTGTTCTTGCCTTTATTGGAGTTCATGGTGTCATTGATTACTATGACACGGAGGGCACTTTTGATCGACTCGAATTTACCCATTGCTGCCGTGAGTTCTTGCATTTGGACCGTGGCTGTGTCCGCCAGTGCCCTGGACCAAATTCTGTGTGGATTTTGGATGGTGCTTCCATGCACAGACACCCAGAGATTGTGCACTACCTTCGTAGTGCCGGTGTCGTTCCGATTTTCTTGCCCGCATATTGCCCATTTTTCAATCCTATTGAGATCATGTTTGGATTCATGAAGCGTGCTTTCCAGCGCCACTACAGTAATCCTTCTGATCGTGACTTGACAACATTTATTGTCAAGACATTTCGACGATTTGAAAACTACGATATGCGTAAGACGTTTGAGCACTGTGGATGGATGGGTGATGGCACCTTCAACCCAGTGGGGCCGCTCTCAAAAGACAAGCGATTGCAATTGCCATTAAGCGAAGTCACCAGTGGAGAAGACTTCTTAGGTTTCACTGAGCTTGAAAGTCGCGATTAAAAAAAGATCATTATTCAATGTGGTCAACATCTTCGTCGCCCACATCCGCCAGACAACTGCCTCGGCTTGGAAAGGGGTAACCATTGTTGTTGGAGCTTTTCAACAACATCACGCAACGACTGCTCTGCAATGGCGCCGGCTCTGTCAGTGTTCTCTGGACGTATGCACATAGCAAGGAGCTCTTCCAGTTCTGCTGAGTAGACACAGCAGTCCCGTACTCGTAGATAATGAGGACGATTTTCTCGCCACGAGCTTTGACCAACCATTGATTCATCGCTGCTTCAGACTTTGCAGTATCGACGAGATGCTTCCTTGACTTCAACTGCATGACCTTGGTCCATTCTGATATATGCGCAGGCTGCACTTCCCAGCTGTCTTCTCCACGGACAGCGCGACCTTTGATGCGTGGCCCAAAGTGCTCCCACAAATCCACGACGATGTCTCGAGATGATGAGCCGTTTGCTGTGTAATCAGGCAAAGTCTTACCCGACGCGTCTCGTTGACCCACAGTTGATTTTAGGATCGATCGCACATGAAGTTGGAACCTTGTGCTTTGTGATGTCTCTCGTGCTATCGTCATGACACGGGACGGCTCAGCTTCGGTTGGAACTGGAACACGAGGAGTTTGTGCAAGTGGAGTGCTGTGACGAGGTGTAGATCTGAATCTTCGTGGGGTGCTTTCCTCTCGAACGATTTGCGGACTCCTTGCCGGTGTACGATTTCGCTCAGGGTACGGAGATACTCTGTGGCGTGTAGCGCCCGGGGAAAGTCGAGTGTTGTCATCTCCCACGGTGCGGAGCGGAGTTGCTTCCATAGCAGGTTCGGCAGGTGACTGTCAAATGGTCCTTATCTCAGAGATTGAGCACGTTCAACCTGTATATTCGAATAGAAGTGCGTTTACAGAGGTTTTTGGGCGGCTTACAAACCGCCCCAGTGATCGATTCAACCCATCGCCCATGAAAATTTGGTGTAGAACGCACAATACCTCTGACTGGTAAAAAGTGCAGGCGAACATTCCAGGGTATACAAGTTTTAAGTACGATGAATCTGTATTTAAAACGTTTTACACTGACATCGCATTGACCAGGTCGGCAAGCTCATCCATGTGATCCACTTCCTCAAGCCGCGCATTCAGCAACTCCATTGTTCCCGCGCTCCCAGAGGCGCCACCCAGTCGATGAATGTGCGTTCACCAAAATCGTTGCAAACACGCTCCACATGATTTCGCGTTAGAGCAGCATATGTGCTTACTCTGAACAGGTCTTGGTAAAGGGACATGCGCTTGTCATTGGTCATGTTTATCTTGGTTTTTGTATGGCGACTTGTCATCGACGTAGCAAGTGCAGTTGTGCAAATAAAATTCCGCAAAAAATATGACGAGATTCGTCTTGGTTCGTAGATTTCTATCCACTAATTTTTAGCCCAATCCGATAACTTTATCAACACATTTTGTCACCGTCTGCACTTATTACCAGTCAGAGGTGGTGTTGTAGTATTTGTTGCTGGTCGTCGTGGCCGTGGGTGAGCATTAAATGATAAATTTCTACCAATCATCGTGGATATGGCACTTCAATTCGACAAACAACTTGAATAAAAATACTGTCCATTCTCGTTGAGGGTAATTTTATTGTCAATACAAATGTCAAGATATTTGT